TTCGTCATATATGTCGATGAATTCTAAATAATAAAACTTTTTAGGATTCATCCTACGTCACACTCAAACACGCGAATTACGCCAGTCCTCTTTTATGTGAGCATTCTTCCTACATATATTTGTGTATCGTGTTCTGTGTTGTGTTTTGCTCCTGTTACTGCACGCGTTGTACTGCTGGATCAGGACGTTACCGTTACCAGGCGACGACTCGTGAAGACACAGGAGACTGGGAAGACTTAGTATGTGCTGTAGTAAACTGTAGAGTGTGAGAATTAATGCGAGCTATAGTTACTTGTATTTACGATCTGTGAGTGTGCAATAAATCCAATTGCCAATCCAAATCCTGCTATAGTCACACTCCATCACGTGACAATATAACTCGCAATAATAGCTGTCGGCGTGGGAGGAAATATTAAGGGGGTGAAAACGTAATATTTTATATTGATATTGCAAAGAATGAACTAATGATGATACTGGGAGAAAGTCGTCTTCTGGGTTTTGGCGCCGTGTATTCTTCGTTTTGGCCGACGTACGTTCCTCCGAAACGTCGGTCAAAACGAAGAATACACGGCGCCAAAACCCGGAAGATGACTTTCTTCATAGTCATCGCCGTGAAAACCTCAAAACTTACATAATGATGATACTAATTTGTATTTGTTTACTATAAATGGAAAATTGTATTAAGGCAGTTGCTGTGAAGTAACGAGTGAACAGTAGACGGGATTGCGGGATATGCAGTTGCTCAATATACATTAGTATCAGTAAACGTTAAAATAGCCGCACTTGTCTCGCTATACGATTTACATCAACAGTAACTTAACATCAAAGCCAGTGCGTTATGAACACTGACAGAGAACACGCATCCTAATTACGAGCACGCATACTCCAAATTTGAGTATCGTATTGATATCAGTTTGTAATCTGATATTCGGGCCGCGCCATAGCTCAAGCGGTTAGTCGCTGGCTTCCCACCGCGGGGGCCCGGGTTCGATCCCGGGGTCTGGTCAGGTGGGATTTGTGGTGGACAAAGTGGCGCTGGGGCAGGTTTTCTCTGAGTACTTCGGTTTCCCTTGCCAATCTTCATTCCACGAATTGCTCCACAATCACCCTCACCTATCATCTGGGGCTGGTACAATAGGCCAGAAGTGGCCGCAGTACAAGGGACTTAGTCCCACCCCACTGGCATTAAAAAATCTGATATTCCACATATGTGAGTGTTAAAATAAATATGGCTATTACCTTGGGTCTGTTTCTGGTGCTATCCGTTTCCGTCTGCCAGGAAATGCCCCAGACGAGTCTGGCCCGCTTCGAGAAGCTAGTCTGTATCGATGGGACGACGGCAAGACGGTGAACAAAACCAAAATAACAGTTTAATGAGAGAAAAATTATACTTTAGAATCAAAGCATTTAAGGGGTTTGTAGAATTAATTAATTTAGCGTTCTGTCTGTTGAAGATCAAACCACGTTTTGGAGGAGCATGATACCCCTATCTGTCTCCAGGGTTGAGCAGTAAGCGAAGTAAAGGAACGGCATCAGGAGACAGTAGCCAGAGCGCGTGACTATAATAGAGCGAGTAAGAAACTGTCGGGTTGACTTTGCAAGGTCCATTGTGCTTCTGTTTTGTCACGTATAAGGGGTAGGCGTGAAGATTGGATTTATTGGACGCCACTCTTATAATTACACTTGATTACAGCAGTTCGCACATTGAACTCCTTCGTGATAACGAATCTCTGTTGTCTGACTCTCAGGCTGGTCTCGAGTCTCTCGAAATCCGGCTCTCTACGAGTACACTCTCTCGAACTGTCTCAGACTGAACTAACTCCATGTTCGCCGAGCAAAACAGTTGATTTCTCTGTTTCATCCGTTGCAACGAAAACGTGTGACGTTCTCCGCTTTGATTTATACGAGCGCGTTCGTTGTTGCGGAAACGCGTCTTAGCTAGCCGGTATAACGGAAACTAGTATTTACTTAGTCGTTAATCATCAATGGACGTGTTGTCTGGCTCCATTATTCCAGCTTTCAGGCGTCATGTAGCAATACTACGTGTATATTCCCGCATTTTCAGAAGCCACGTGTTTTCCTTGCTCTTTGATCCATGCTGATTTCTTGCTTGGCTTATTGTTCGGTCCTAAAAACGGAGGCGACATGTGCCTGCGAAACTTCGGTTGACTTTCAACGGATTAGTCAGCTTCGTAAGTACCTTGATGAGAGCCTCAAGTCGCTCGAATGGCTGCGCATCTCTGCCATAATTATCTTAACAATTTTACGTTATGCGCAAACGCTGTACTCGACAAATTTTCAAGGAAACCCCTAACACAGATTCCAACGTATGTGTAGGCCTAAGCGTACTAATAAGGTAGGCCTCTCCCTCTGCAACTCTATGGGCAGACTCACCTTGCCCAGCTCTTGTTATTACTTCAACGTAAAATTATTCCACAATTTTATCTGTACTCTTCACTCCTGACTTGAACTAATACCCGTGTGAACGGACTAGCATCTGAACGTCAGTAGTGCAGTCTGAGACGGGTACCTGCTGTACGGACAGGTTTCTCGTGGTAAATGCCAGGAAAACGCCTACAGTTAGTGACTGACACTAATGCCCGTGTCAACGGACTATGGTCTGTACGTCGGTAGTGCAGTCTGAGACGGGTACCTGCTGTACGGACAGGTTTCTCGCGGCAAGTGCCAGGAAAGCTCCTGCAGTTAGTGATTAACCACTTCCGTAGTCATTATTTCCAGTTAATTATACACTTATTACCATACCCTTTCGATGGCATGTTTTCTGAGATTGCATCATAAAAGTGGGCCACAAAGAACAGTACTCGTACAAGTGAAAAATAAAGTAGATACACAAATGTGACTCGATATGTCTGTTCTTAGTACTAACAGAACCAATAGAACAGGAACAACCACAATACTGTAATTAATAGCGGGCAGAAGCGATATCCCCACACNCCTATTGTACCAGCCGCTCATGATAGATAATGATGAATTTTTCGGTGGAATGAAAATTGGCAGGGGAAACTGAAGTTGTCCGAGGAAAGCTGTCCCAGTGCGTTTTTTTCACCGCGAATTCCACATGACCTGACCTAGACTTGAACCCGAACCGCCCCAGCGTGAAGCCAACGACCAACCGTCTGAGCTGTGGCAGGGCCAATATAACATATATGTAAGGAACTAAAAATAACGCCGATTCCAAATATAGAAAACTGCTACCCTCTACGACATATCACCACAGACATTTACTTCACTTAAGAATAATTCCAGTGTAAAATTAATTAATAGTGAAGAAATGAACATTCTGATAGTAATTTGAAAATATTTATTAATGTTTTAACCTTTAAAACTGATATTACAATTTAGTAACACAAAGGGACTTAGAGATTGCCAACGAAATTTATATTAATGTAATTACTAATCTGGATCCATATTAGAAACACAATTCAATAACTAGTGATATATCATGAAAACTCTCCGATGATGATCCAGCTGGATCGAATCATGTAGCAGGTACAGATTGCAAGCAAGTGCACCAACGAGCCAGGTCCTTGCTGTCAGCTGAGATCGGTACACTGAGGCCAATTGGTGGTCCCGTAACGACTATCAAGTGCCTGGAATAATCTCCTGGTTGGTCGCTGCCGTAGGGGCGTCATGTAGAACGTCAGAAACCCGCCCATCCTACGCACACCGATTCCCAACATCTGTGCCCAGCTCGTCTCATCGTGCGTTTTCTACGAGGTTGTTCGTTGCTTGTATGTTGCTCTGTGTTCCTTTACGCGATCCATATATCTGAGTGTGTTTAGAGAGTGTTCACACGAAGCCATGCCAGGACTAATCGTCCCTATCATACATGTCTTGGATTTCTCCCCGATGAAGGAATCTCTGAGAACTAGAGTGATCTTGCTTCCTCGAAATGGGATATGACCACCTCTCCTTTCTAACGCCCTGATACACTCCTTTAGAGCTAGTAGTGACGTGTTAATCGCCGCACCTTCCATTTTTGCCTGCCTGTTCGGAGGATTCATATCTACTGCCCTCTCATTACCCGCTAGATCGATCAGTGAGAACGTGCCATGAATGCGATCGGTGCCAGGTGTCCAGAGCAGAAGCTGGAATACTGCATGGGACCGTGAAGAATTGCGATTCGCCGATGTCTGCCCTGAAGCTCTTGCAATGCTACCACGCTCTATGAGTTCAATGACTTCATCCATTGAGTCGACTGCTACTTCAGTCAGCCCCACAATATTCACATGATGATAACCATCTTCAAGGATACGCAGTCTGGCTTTATTCTCCAACAGATCGAAGACATCGTTGCCGTAGATCTCAAAGAAGCTTGCAGATACCGTCAGATTCAGGTCCTTATACTCAGGTGACTTGAGGAATTTAAATACATCTTCGGCTACCATGGCGTAGATTCCTTTCTTGCAGTCTTGTGTCTTACCTTGGAAGTTACCGCCCATTGTATGGGTTTTGCCACTTCCTGTCTGCCCATAAGCAAAACATGTTGCCATTCCCCCATCGAAGACTGTTTGGACCAGAGGCTTTGCTGTATATTTGTAGACCAACTCATTACAGCAGGTCTCACCGAAAACGTAGTCAAATTTGAAGCATTTGTTCTCTAAGAACTTTTTGAGATTCACGTTGACTTTGGGCTGATGTACAATAATCTCGTCTTTACTGGGCACCGAGATCACATCCACCTCTTGTCTGGCGAACTCGCTCTTGTTAAGGGGCCTCTTCCTGATGCAAACCGTAATCTGATGATCCTCCACGGGGTCTGACTCTTGCAGAGGGCGGAACACAATACGACTACGGTACTGGTTTATCATATTCAGAAACTCCCAGTTTGGGTTCCCTTGACGCATCATTATATGAAGTTGCTTCTCTTTCAGTTTCGCATGTAGCTGACGTTGCTGCTCGCGGTTTTTCTTAATTCGCTCAATCTCCGTCACCACATTCCTACGCTGACCCTGTCCTGCTCCTCTCTGTTCTGATATCAGTTCAGGTTTGTGTTGCTGTTGCAACCGCTGCCTTATGAGAGAACCACTGGTTACTTTGTGCGTGTCACAAATAAGAATGATGTTCTCCAGATTGTTCAGTTTCTCGACATACTGGGACCGGATGGAGGGTATATTGGCCTCCGTCATTTCTTCACTGTTATGTATGGCGGTGTCAATATTCGCGTACAGCCTTTCTTCATTGTTCTCCTTCCTTTCGCTGTTGGCTTTTAGCATGGCTTTCAACGTTTTTGCAGTGGCTTTCAGATGCTCCAGTTCCTCCAAGTTTATCGGCCACGTAGGTTACACGCAAACGATGTACACTTAAATACAGTCGTTAGATTCAGTCCAGTTCTGTTATCTCAGTACCGCTGCTGAAACTAGTTCTCACGTGTTAGTGACGAGAAGCAGGGAATTTATCAGATCTACTGAACGCTCGTTACTCGTAAATATAACGAATTATAACCCTCTCGTTCCAGTACACGATGTAAAGACAGCTGCTAGGCTTCGATGAAAGTCAATAGAAACACCGTTTCCACAGTTACTGTATTATTATTTGCTTATCCGTTGCATCGGAAACGTGTTTACAAGCCGGAAATTGATGAACTTTCATTGTTAGGAATTGCTACCAGGTAACATCTAGTTAATGCGTGGCAACCAAAACAATTAGCTATCTGTTGTAATTACTACAAAATACCTTTTATATAGAAACTGCAGAAACGAAGATTGATATTTTGCGTGTGTGGTCCTGTGAGACTTATAATTACTGTGTTAAAATCCGTTACCAGGAAACGTCTACTGAAGACACTTGTGCTGAAATTACAGTGATATTTGGAGTGTGTGATCCAGTGAGACTTATAATTACTGTATTAAAATCCGTTACCAGGAAACGTCTACTGAAGATATGTGTGCTGAAATTACAGTCATATTTCGAGTGTATGGTTCAGCGAGACTGTTTTAATTGCTGTGTTAAAAACTGTTACCAGGATACATTTACTGAAGACAAGACTTTAGTGTGCTGCAGTTACAGTGCATTTGGGCCGCGCCATATCTCACGCGGTTTGTCGCTGGCTTCCCACCGCGGCGGCCCAGGTTCGACCCCGGCTATGGTCAAGTGGGATTTGTGGTGGACAAAGTGGCGCTGGGGCAGGTTTTCTCCGAGTACTTCGGTTTCCCCTGCCAATCTTCATCTGGGGCTGGTATAATAGGCCAGAAGTGGCCGCAGTAAAAGGGACTTAGTCCCACCCCACTAGCAATAAAAGAAAATACAGTGACATTTGGAGACACAGGTTCACTGACAACCACTTGTCACTATTCTTCTTCTTACATATCGAACCAGCAACCATAACGGTGAAGTGTTGCACATAGAACACCTACAAAATGCGAGAGTCAAAGTTGAACCACCTCAGTAAGAGCAGAATAATATTCCAAAATGAAACAGATGCCAAGCGTACTTCCATAGCAAGGGGTACTGCGCACAAAGGCCGAGAAGCATGAAATGTGGCAAATCACGTAGCACTGAACAATGTACTCTGCCAAAGACACAACCAGCAACATGCCTAAATTGTCGAGAATCGCATCCAGTTAGGTACCGAGGCTGCAAAGTCTCCTACGAAGTCGTACAAGATGTTCTTCAGCCCGAACAACATAAAGTATTTATAATACCAATACACTGGGACAAGAGAACAAAAGCGCTGCAGTACCACAGAAAATTTATGTGAAAAAAATAAAATAAAAGTAAAGCTACCCCTGTAACAGGCCGTGAAGGCCCATAGGGTTGTGAGATGTAGAGGGTCCCACATTATCTAGACCAGGCATGTCAAACTCACCTTGTCCAGAGGGCCACCTCAGCCCTGTAAATAATAGTCGAGGGCTGCACTTCAAAATAAAAATATACATTAGCTTTGATACAAGGAAATGTAATTATGTTTATTATTTAGGAATAATTTCAATATAATTACCTAAAGTGGAACACTTATATTTTGCCCATAAATCAAACATGTAATTTTACCTTCTATTTCACAACAGAAGTAAGAGATTTCCCATTTTCCTTGAAAAACACGGCGCTCACTTTCAGTAGTTCTTCTTTTGCTACTTGATCTTTTTGAAAGAGACATTGTTCTTTAAAAGTTACTATACATATACAAGAAAACTCGTAGTTGGTAATTTAATGTTTAATTATAACCTTTATACGTTCATCACAATGTAACATCAGCACCTGTCGCTGTGTGAAAATGAACTGAATGACAATGTACAAGAGACTACCGGACTAGTACGAAGGTGTATCTTGTCTCAATGGTCATAAAATTGAAAGTTTGCTAGCAGCCCATTAGACAATGGCTGCGGGTTGCAAGCTAGTTTTGAAGGTAGAAATCCCTTGCACTTGTCTGTCAGTTGCCACTCTCCTTGCATTC